TTGTAATTAAATATGTCAAGAATTGGAACTTATCTGAAAGAATGAAGTTGAGCTCCAAATCACTGCTTTTACAGTGGATGCCTGAGGGGAAATGCAGCTTAAGGTGATGCTATATGTTTATTACTTTTTAGATATGGATATGTGCAACCTGGTTATTGGCAATGACTTTGTCCCTTCTTTTGTTGTTACTTAAAGACTGTATATTGGAGATATTGAAGTGGGGTGACTGCTTTGTTATGGCCTGCTCATACTTCATTGTGGGTAGGACTCTAGGCAAGTGGAAGTTTTGGTTGTGAAGAGAACGTCCTTCTGGGACGTATCAATTGCAAGTGCTGTTATGGTGTGAAGGTTAAGCCAGTGTGATTTGTCTTGGTTCTGCAGTTACACAGAGGAAAAGATGGCTCTGTAATAGTGTGAAATGTAATCTTACACCTGTAGTGGTTTCAGAGAGTTATCTTTGTAGCTTGTTTTTGGAACCCAAAAGTTCACTGATGCAGCTCTTGCTCCTGCTTTAAAAGGAGTAAAGTAGATTAGACCTGTCCCTCCATTTACGATTTTTCTTTACTAGTTCCTCTTGACTGGGGTCAGTAACTCAGATGTTCCAGAGAATATACTACAGGTTGAACCTCCCAGATCCGGGACTCTTTGGTCCGGCAACGTCTGTGGCCTAGAAGGAAGGACCATGGATGTTGCTGGAGAAGCGAACTCCAGAGGTGAGGAGAACAACTCAGCTGGGAGTCCCACAGATGCTGGGGAGCCCCAGGTGGGCTGGCAGGGGCTGGTCCTACTGGTGGTGGGAAGTCCAGCCCTCAGGAGCCCCTGCGGTGTCTGAAAGGAATCACCAGTCCCAGCCAGGAACCCTGGCAGCAATGGGGCCAGTCCTGACTGGGTGGAATCCCAGGTCCCGGCTGGGAACCCAGGCAGACACTGAGCAGTGGGTGCAGGGGGGAAATCCCCAGCTGAGAACCCCGATTGAAGCAGGGCCAGCAGTGGCCAGGGGAGTGGGGGAAGAGTAGGAATCCCTGGTGGGAGTGGTGGGACCAGCAGGAAGCCCCTGCCTGGCTGGAAGCCAAAGTGGAGAGGGACCCGAGGAGGCTGACCCTGGGAGCCCCAGCATGAGCCCAGCCTTGGGGTAGGAAGCCCAAGCTCCAGGGTCGCCCACAGCCCAGGGAGAAGCTTTGATCTCCCCTGGTCGGGCAAACTCTGTGATTCAGGACCAATCAGGTCCCCAGGCTGCCAAACCAGGGAGGTCCAAGCTATATACATTTCATAGGTTACTAACTCAGGTGTAATCTGCTTATTCATCAATGTGTGCCAAGAACATTTTCAAGAAAAGTGTCGGCAGATTTCACTCTAATGGCATTCAAACAAAGGATGCTGCCAAGTCCTTTCGATAGCAGTCAGCTTCCGTAGCATGTTTAAGTGCATTTCAGTAGGATTTCTTTAATTTAAACAAGCTGCGTTCTTAGCAGCCAGGATTAGTATAGGCCCTTATTGGAGTTTTCTGGTAAATTTCAGGTATTTGGGGGCATGGAGTGTCTGTTCCAATTGCTTGGGAGAGGAAAAAGGTGTGAAGTAGGAGCCAAGCGATTTTTACGAGTGGTTTCTCTGTTAGGGTCGGTGGATCTAAAACAGAAAAATGTCAGGGAGTTTCTTGACTTAATTATATAGTTGTATTTGTTTCATACCAGTAGTTGAAACAAAATATGTAACTGTGTAGGGCAGTGGTCTCCAACCTTCTTAGCCGTAAGATCACTTTTTGAATTTAAGTGCAATGTAAGATCTACCTCAAACCCCAATACTCTTGCTCCACTTCCTTTCTGCCCCTTCTCTGGGGCCCTGCCCCTGCTCTACCCCTTCTCCGAGGCTTCACCCTGCCCACTCCATCCTCCTTCCTCCCCATCCTCACTCACTTTTACCAGGCTGGGGGGAGGCGGTTGGGGAGCAGGCTCTGGTCTTGGGCCAAGGGGTTTGGAGTGTAAGAGGGGCTCTGGGCTTAGCCCAGGGTGGGGGATTGGGGTCCAGAAGGGGCTTCAGGGTACAATCTCTGGGAACGCAGTTGAATGCAGGAGGAGGTTCAGGGCTGGGACAGAGGTTCAGGATGCAGGCTCTGGCTGGGCACCGTTTAACTGAGACTGCTTCTGGGTGGTGGAGCAGTGGAGTTAAGGGAGTCTTACTCCTGTCCTGGCCCTGTTCCACTCCTGAAAGCAGCTGGCATGTACAGCAATGGCTCCATGGTGCCATGTGCTGCCCCTCATTTACAGGCACTGAGCCCACAGTTTCTACTGGCCACAGTTCCCTGTTATTGATCAATGGGAGCTGCAGGAGCATTGCTGTTTTTTTCAGGGGCTGCAGGGACATGCCAGCCACTTCCAGGAGCAGCATTTAGCATGGGGATAATGACTCCAGCCACAACAGGTTAGGCATTTTAGAACTCACTACTCAAAGAATTAAATTTAAGCATAAAAGAGAAATGAAAATGATGAAATGCACAGACCAGTCAGAAACAAAAAATAACACACTTGGCAAGCAGTAAAAAGTAACAGCAGCCCCCCACAAAAAAAAAAGGTTAGTTTAGCTAATCCTTATGGTTTGTTTAATTAGTTAACCAAATTTTGATTCTGTCACCCAAGTATGAAATGCAAAAAGCTTCAACAAGAGAAATGTAGAGTTACCAGTTGCCACTGAGTGTCTCTTCTTATTTTGTATTGTGTAATACATGCCTCTTAGTTTGGAACATCATGGTCACAGCCCACAAAGGTGATCCCCATAAGTCTGTTCCCTATTTTACTTCATGCATAAATCAGCTTTTCCAAAGAAATCCCCTTCTATACTTTTTTTCAACAGAGCTTAAGTGGTTATTACCCACGAAAGCTTATGCCCAAATAAATTTGTTAGTCTTTAAGGTGCCACAGAACTCCATGTTTTTTCCAAAATTAAGTGCACCGTAAACAGAGTCAAGTTCTTTTTGGTAACTTGGAATTGGAGTTGCATCAAAATGACAGTGGGAGTGGGGAAGATAAGAGCTAATTGTAGAAGTTTTAGGGACATCATACATGTAGTGCTCTGAGGACTTGTCTGTTAGAATTAAAATTTGTAAATTAAAAAAAAAAGTCATCTGGCAATTCAGGAGACCAAACAGTGAAACGCTGATGTAACATTTAAGATTTAGTTTAATGAAATAGAAGTGCTACTGTGTTTGTGGGTGTGATTTCGTTCTTACCATTCCTAATGCACTGCTGCTGCACCTGCAGTTTGACACAGGTAATGAGCATTATGTACCATTTCTGAAATTAATAAAAATCAAGTTATCTAAAAATACACAAAGCATACCATTTTAGATGTTGTAAAATGCTTTTCTGAATTGTAAGTTAACATGTTTTAGTGATCAGATTTGCACCGTTGTTCGAAGAAATATGTGAGGGAGTATCACTAGGAAACTTGATTTAAAACAATGATTTTTATGGTGATTTCGATTGTGATTTAAAACCGTAATTTAAATCCGTCCACCCTGATTGGCAGCGAAATGGCAAACTGAAATTCAATTTGTGTGAACATCTGTTGTCAGCGTTCAGATCACCGTTCTCTTTAAAGTACTTGCCTAGAGAATATTTCCATTAATGTTTCAGTTCAATTACAAAGTCGGCTTTTTTGTCTTGAACTTACATATATTTATTCCAAAGCTATCTGCACATAGTTCTGTGTGTGTTTGTGTTATAGTAGTATGTCCCTAGTGTGAAAGGAACATCCTGCTGTCATTGCCAGGATACGAACTTTTGTTTGGCCTTCATGTATCTATGTATTTTTGGTCAGGTAATCAGTAACACAAATGGGTGGAAGAGATATGTGTAGTGTTCAACAGCCTCCCCTCAGCCTCAAATATCACACTGGAGTAGGTAGGAAAAGATGTTGATAGTCACCGTAAAATAAGTTTATTTTTAAAAAGTTAATGTTATCGGTCACTTCTCTCATACAATGTAAACCGTTTTGCCCTCTGGAGTGGCTCATTGATAGTGGTGTTTTGGTTTCTCAGTGAAGTGTGACAGCGCAGAGGGGTGGGTATGCTTACCTAAACAAGGGCTGTCCAGAAAACTCTAATCTTCTCACTTGGCAGCGACACAGCCCTTGAGGAATGCTAGGGCTAGAAACCATAAATAATGATGGTAAGAATCCTGAAACGACAACAAGGAAACTAGAGCATAAGAAAATGAGATGTAAAAAGACTTACCTTACTCCCACATGCACCCTTAGAACAATTTCCTAACTATACTTACTTGAATGCTAAAAGCTTTAGGGAAATAATTTTACAGGGAACTAATCTTTTACGTAAAGCAACTACCAAGTATTATCTATTCTATTATTCCTTTTTGCAGTATAATACATGTGTTTGTCTCCTAGAAGTAGCAAAGAAAACAGTATGCTCCACGGGAGAAATTCCATGTTTGCTTTTCTCTGATATTAAACCACGGTATTTTTATTGTAGTCAAATATATTGTATTACTAAATCCAGGTACGCTACTATACCAGAGAGTAGATGATATTGCTTCAGTATATAAAAATCTCAAGGAAATCTCAAGACACAAAAATGCCAACATGTTATGTTAGTACAGTGTATTTACTTAAATGTTTTCTGCTGCTTGGTTCAGTGTTATTTCTACTTTAACCAGGTTCTGAGCTTGGGGGAATATTTCCCAACTGTGATAAATTTCTCTATGCAGTAGGGTTCATTATAGGGATTTATAGACAAATTTTACTACTTCTGTAGTACCCAATATTGGCTCTTGCTAGGTGCAGAATAATGGGATTAGATCAACTAGTGGTCTGATTTTTGTGATCCTGTCATGTGTTGATACCTCTGATGTTCAAATTATATAAGGTTTGCATGCTACTCAGCTTTTATTCTTTACCATTTCTTAGTCTTGGTATAAGGTATCTTTTGAACTCCGGATTTGTTTAGATCCTTCCGATAAATGTTTCCTTTCCATTATCCTTTTCTCTAGGATGACAGTGATGGAATCCCATGGTCAGAGGAGAGGGTGGTACGAAAGGTCCTTTATTTATCTCTAAAGGAGTTCAAAAATGCACAGAAGAGGCAGCATGGTGATGGCATCACTGGGAGTCTCAAGACTGTGAATGGTAAGTCTTTCTTTTCTCTGGTACAGCTGGAAGAGTTCTGTCATTTTAAGTGTAATGCTAGGTTGGAGAAGCAAACAGACAATGTGCATACTGGCAAACACGTTATCTTTTTGATATGCACAGTTCAGGAGAACATGGTTTTTGAATACTTAACCTGTACTGATTCATTTTCCCCCACAAACTGTGTTGACCCAGGGTGCAGTGAAAGTAGGATACTGGGGCCAAGCCTACACTACAAACTTTGGCTGACACAAGTTAGTGTATAGCTGCCAAAGACAGCATATTGCTGATGTGCATGTGTGGTTGGCTGCTTGTGCCAGTGCTTCATGTACTTGCAGGAATGTCAATACGAAGTGTGGTGTCCTGTAGTTAGGTAACCCAGTGTGCCATGTGCCACCGACTGTCACAATGCCTTTTGGGAAACATTAGCAATTTGTCATGGGACAGAAATGAATGACGCAGGGATCTCTTTGAGCCAGGGATCATGTTCTCATCTCGCAACTTTCTGCACCCTATAACGGAGGCAACTGGGCAGGAAAGGGATGGGGAAGAGGGGAAAATAGAGAAGTGTTGCTGAGATTGGAAAGTTTATTTTTTCATCTTCATTCAGCCCTTTAGCCAATGAAGGAATGGTTTCACAGTCTCGCTGTACTCTTGCTCTTTGAGTAAGAAAAATGTGATTCTAAAATGTAGCTCTTTTGGACTCCTTCATTGACAGATGACACTTCTGCAAATAGCCGTTATCATTCTGGGTGGGAAATGAGGGACAATAATTAGGTTTCTGGGCAAGTTGTGTTTTTCTCTTCACTGACAAAAGCTGATGGCTGTCTTTGTAGAGACTTAGTGCAGATGTTTGTCAGCATATGAATAGCTGTTCATGTGCTAATACATTAAAGCAACAACTGGCTGCTTACTTGGTAGATTATTCATATTTTTATGCAGCTTGCATTTTTGACATGGTGTGTCAAATTTCACTGCAGTCTCTGTGAAGCTGACTTATTCTCGAGGAGGCAGACACTAGTGGAATGCCTGGATGCATGGATATAGATAGTTACAGACTGTGTAAATCTATATTATTGCATCTGATACACAACTTTAGCCTCTCCAGTGTGATTAAGGAATACCCTCTGACTTCTGAGTTTGGCAATAATATCAAATACTAATCTGGAGGGAAGGGTCACTCTAGCTTTAACCACAAGCCACTAATAAGCTTGAAGGTGTATGCAAAACAGCATTGCTATCTTTTTCTTGAGCACCTCTCCAACATTTATCATTTGTCAAGTTTTTTTTTTGGCAAATTTCTTATTCCATTGTGGAGGAGTTTTCTTTAGTTAAAGAAAAAAAAACTATAGGCGTGAAGCACAATAATTGTGTTAGAAAGCTTTGATAGTGTGCCAAGTTACAGGATGACTGAGGTTTTTATGGTGTCTGGTTTCTCCAAAGGCAGCCTAGATGAAAACTCAGTTGGCTGGGAATGCTGTGTCAATGCAGGCACCAGACATGGAACATGCCATAATCTTCTCTGGCAACGACATGGCCTATGTCCTAAGCATATGCCTCACTAATTTGGTATTTCATAATATTATCCCTCCCCTCTACACACATGGGTGACTAAGGACATGTCTATACGGCAGCTGGAGTTGTAAGCGCTGCTTAGATAAATGTGTGTATTGTAGCTTTGATTGAGCTAGCTTGCTAAAAAGAGCAGTGTAGCTACAGTGGTGAAGGTGGTAGCAGGAGCTAGCTAAACCTAGGATCTTGGGAAAGTGTTGTACTCTAGTGACTAGCCCATACTGCCACCCATGTCATTGTGGCTACACTGCTATTTTTAGTGTTCTAGTTTGATCAAAGATAGTGAAGGTACGTCTGTTGGAGTTGGAAATTAAAACTTCAGCTGAAGTATAGACATGCTCTTCTTTTTTTCTGAGCCAGAAGAGTTCCCTTTTTAATTCTTTCTGACCATGAAATTTTTCACAAGGTGCCCAGCTGTAGAACGGGTTGAATTTTAAGGAAGACCACTATCTTTTATGTGATATGTTTAATCAGCACAATTTAAAAGAAGGGTGGAGTTTGGTGGAAGGGAGAAATGATCTCATATGGAGGAAAAGATATTTAAGAAAACATTCATAACATTTGTTTTTAAAAATATGGCCACATTAATTAAATTTAAATCTCTTACAATGTGGGAAATAAGGAAATTCAGATCATACTTAATTTTCACCAGGTTGCTATGCGTTGGGGAAAAAAATGGTGTAACTGCATTGGAGAGAAAAAGCCTTAGACATCTTTGAGAGTTAATTGGGGTTGTTCAAGAGTTGTGTGGCATAAGTCCTATATGGGACAGAATTTGATGTAATTTTTTTTTATATGGATGAGACAGAAATTTCAATCTTAAGGACTGTAAATTGGGGACCTAAATGAGGTGCTGATTTTACAAAGATGTCGAACCCTATCAACACTCAGTGACTTCAGAGGGAGTTAGACATGTTCAGTGTTTAAAGAAAGGAGCCCCCCTTATTAAGTACTTAAACATTGTTTTATGTACTTAAATTCTGGGATGCGTGTTACACGTTTTAGCCATGACTTATGTGCTCCATTCCAGCAGTGGGCACATTCGAGGGAGACAGCTTTTGCTTCTGCATAATAAAATCATATTGCTCTTACCAGATGTTGCAGGCAGTGGAGAGCATCCTCCAGCAAACTGCAAAACTCAAGTTTTTGAAAGTGGAAAGTGACACTTATACTGTAAGCTCAAGCTCTCAGCTCACTGTAGAGCAACAGATTATCATCAAGCAATTCTAGGTCTTCTGATTTCCATCCCATGTGGAGAACCCCAAGTTAGATTTGCATACCAGTGGTTTCAGTGTCCAGGTTGGCAGGAGATATCTCACTATTTCCTTTTCTTTTTAGAAATAGGGTATGTATGGTGGAGGAAGAAGCAAATGAAACGTTCAATAACTTCATGAAGCCACTGTTTCTAAAACTTTTTTTTAATGGGTTACAAATAGTTAGTCACAAACAAATCCTCAAAAAGTATTAAAACCAGCTTGAGCTGTAGTGTATGTAATGTTTTGGCAGCTGGAACCATTTTAGCTTACTGTGTGAGAAGCAGATCCAGTGGAAATGGCTCCATCTATGGGAGCCTATCACTGCAGTAGGACTTCTACTGGTTCTGTCTAGAGGAAACAAACAGAAAATTAACTGGGCTTTGCAAGTATAATAGAAGACTCTTAAATGAATACATTGATGTAAAATTGTATGTTTAAAATAGTCTTCAAAATACTGAAAGTTGAATTATATTAACTCTCTATCCTGCCCCTACATCACTGGTAAAAAAAAATTCTTGGTGGATAGTTATTCCTAAAACAACCCTAGCGTTTTCATTTTGTTGCGTAATAGTGATGTTTGTCTGCTCCTGGGCAGTGTTCAGTAGTCTCTTTGAGGACTTCCTTGCTTTTCATACTGTTTTCTTTTGGCCATGTAATGTGCTACTAACAAGTAATTTGTTAAAAATATTTTGTGTGCTCAGTGTTTGCCTTCATGCACTTCCTATAATACTCCCATCCCCTGGTATTTAACCAGTGAGCTTTCTGAGGAAAGGATATAGGAAGCTAATTCAACATAGCCGCTGTATCAGTATGTTTGAGGACTCTCTAGATATTCAGAGTATATAGCATGTCCCACTGTCATTTTGGTACAATATGCCTTTGTTCAAGACGTTGTCCTCCAACACATGGGAACAAAAATTTAGAATGGGATGTTTCAATAAATTGTCAGGACACCCTTTGTAGAACTAAATAGGATAATTTATATCAGATTATGGTAACCATTTTGCATGCTGGAAAACCCAAAGAAGACCTGTACTGTGATTTTGATGATGGTTGCCTTTCATTTGGATTAAGATTATAATGATAGAGACTGGTGTGGATTGAGACACAAATTTTCAGTAGTCCCCTTACAAGAGGAAAGCTAATTCTCATTGAAATTAGTTTTTTTTATGTAGCCTTAAATGTGAAATATGGCTGTAAAAGAAAAAAACAATGCAATTATTGCTTGCATTGTGTTTACAAGAGTAAATTTAGAACCCTCAAAAGAGCAGCTCATGAAGCAAGCTTTTATTCTGTTTTACAAACTTTTTTTTAGATTTATGGTAGCATTATCTTCATAAACTATAAAAATGGCAAATTTTTTACTGTTAATCTTAAGATGATCAGTATTAGTCTATATATACATTTTAGAATGCATCTGTCTGTCTCTGTGATTGTCTGTCTATGAGTCCGTTTGTTCAAGAACTGTTCCTAAATGGTAAGAGTTAGGACCACCAAATTTGGTATGTAGCTTCCTCTCCTAACTTAAATCAAGGTCAGGATTTGGTTGTGCCAGGAAAACGGGAAGGGCCTGGAAAGGGATTGTTCTCTATAACATGTAAAGGGGCTGATCGGAGGGAGAGCTATATGCAGAGTGGTCACTGGGGGCAAGTGCCGGGGACAGCTTCACTGCACAGTGATAATTGGAGGCAGTCACACCAGCAGGGAGTAGGCGGATGGGGCTTCCCATGTTGCTATTTCTGGAGCCAGCCAGTGTAGCCCAGCCCGTAACCAGGAGATGCCAGGATCAGGAATGGTGGCCAAGCTGCAGATCAGCTGCAGGCCCTTTCATCCCCTCCCCCTCCCCCTCCAAGCAGCTGCGGGAGTGGAGGGAGGGAGGGAGCTAGTGGCTGGGGCTGGCCACAGGCCAGCTGAAAGGGATGTGTGTCTGTGGGGGAGGAAAAGAGGCTGGAGGCCAGAGCCAGCTGCCAGAGCCCTCCAGACAAGTTCCAGGGAGGAGGCTGGGGCAGGGGGCAGCTTCAGCCAGAGACTGACACACACCCTAGGAGCTGCTGGCCTGGGAGCACAGCCCCAGGAGAAACCACCCTGCCACCACCTGCCCTCACTGCAGCACACTCAATCCCCTTTCTTAAGCCCCCCACCTCCCAAACCCTTGCCCCTCCCCACGAGCAC